ACATATATACATATATATATACACATATACACACACGTGCGCGCGCACATTTATATGATATATTTATATGTTATATATGTATATATACATACATATATCTATATCTATCTATCTATCTATCTATCTATCTATCTATATCTATCTATCTATCTATCTATCTATCTATATCCATCCATGCATATCTTAACTACGCGTAAACGACAAAGGCAGGATCTTGACCCACACAGCCGCTCGCCGCCGAAAGTGTCACGTAACAACCGCGAAGGTCTGCCGCCGCCGAGGGCCCGACGCCGCGTGGTCAGCTGACTCGCGCGGAGGGCATCAATGAGGTTGGGGGGGGGGGCGCTGACTTATGGTTTACATCTGCTTCATTTCATTCATATATATATATATATTATTATATATATATATATATATATATATATATATATATATATATATATATATATATATATATATATATATATATATATATATATAGAGAGAGAGAGAGAGAGAGAGAGAGAGGAGAGAGAGAGAGAGAGAGAGAGAGAGAGGTATATATGTAATACATGTATAACACACATTTGGACTTATAAATATGTATATATATAATATATGTATATATACACATATATACGTGTGTGTGTGTATACATATGTCTATACATAAATATATTACATATATATACATATACGTGTGTGTGTGTATATATATATATATATATATATATATATATATATATATATATATATATATATATATATATATATATATATGTGTGTGTGTGTGTGTGTGTGTGTGTGTGTGTGTGTGTGTGTGTGTGTGTGTACGTGTATATGTGCGCATGGCTATAAAAAACACAGTCAGCTCTCATTCTTTGAAACTGATTTCGATCACGTCCCCCTTTGTTTCCAGTCATTAACGCTGATCTCATCCTCGCCAACTTGCGTGTGATGCGTAACTCGAACAAAAAGTCTTACAATTACGTAACGAAAGTCGACCGCGTGAACGATGCCCATCACTGAATGTTTAGCTCTTGTAAACTTGGGATGAAAGGGAAGTGGCTCCACAAACGGCAAAGTCCAAAGAAGTATTTCATGGAATTTGCCGAAGATGACCTGCACCCGTTGCTGTAGTCATCGCTTACTGTTAGCATAAGCTATTCTGAGATCCGATATGGTTGAGCCACTGACCCAAAAATCCTCCTTCGTTATATATGAGGTAAATGTTACCATAGTGACTGGTGTAGAAAACTAATCCAAAAACACATTATATCACGTGCCGCTCGGTCACGCTACGTGCACACCTCAGATAGTCTCACAATAGAACTCTATACCGTCAGTAAATCTACCTTCTAAAATCAGATTACAGAAAGGATTAGGATATCGTTACTTTCAGCCCTACACGTGGAGGCAGAAAAGGGCATCGGACATCTTTAAAACCCACATTCCAATCCCGTATTCTTTCAACCCCGGGAATCGCACGTGAGGTTTCAAAAGCTCCCCGAATTATTCACTTGCGCTTTTCATTGCATCATAATTTGTTCTTAAACGTGAAGCGGCCGAGTAAGCCTCATGCCACCATGTAGGTCATAATTTGGAAAATGATTAATGTACATGAAAAGCAGCTGCTCACTGAATGCACTGAGAATGCCTTTTTCCATATCCCGGGAACGGGAGTATCGAAAGGGCGTCATTTACATATGTTGATATCATCATCCTCTCTTTTTTTCAACCACGTGCAGTGTACCTTTTAAGAGTATATGAATTAGGGAGAGGGAAAGAGGAATGGGAAGAAGAAAATGAGAGGGAGAAGGAGAAGGGTCCAAGCTTAGAATAATATGCAAGAGCAACGTCCTCCTCTGCTACATACGAATCCGCAAATACACAACAATCGATGTAAGTGCGTGTGTACACACACACACACACACACACACACACACACACATATATATATATATATATATATATATATATATATATATATATATATTATATATACACATATATATGATATATGTATAATTATACATATATAATATATGTATAATTATACATATATATATCATATCTATTTATTCATTTATTTATTCATTGACACACTTGTACAAGAAATAGTCTAGCAAGGCATGGTTGCAATGGGATTTTCACCACACATTACTTTGCAAACAAAATTCAAATGGCCACCAGAAAGGCACTTTAAGAACGTCTTGTGGAAGCACAGATTTCTTCGAGAATAGGCAAGGAGTGAGACAAGGTTGTATTTTGTCTCTCCATTTATTTAATATATATGCAGCACAGATAAAGAGAAATGCACTCCACAACTTTGATGGTCCTATGCGAGTGGGTGACAGATGTATAACCAACGCCCGATATGTTGAAGACATTGTTCTAAGTACTGGACCTGTGACTGAATCAACATATCAACCTAAGTACAAGCAGCAAGCAAGGCAACAGCACTTTACTGAACTGTGAACAAAACGAAAGTTACGGGTGTAATCACAGAGAGTTATGATCACTATCTTCAAAATGTTATTATTAATGGTGAACAAGCTGAAGCTGTCAGGAAATTGTATTATCTTGGGAACAAGATTTAAAAATAATCCTAATGACAAGCAGGAAAATAGAAGAATTACCATTAAAGAAAATGTCCTGTCACATACCAAATCAATATCCATTAAGACAAAAGTTAGAGCTTTGAGAATCTTTGTTTCCCTGTCGTACCATGTGGATCCGAATGTCTGGCCTTTATGAAAATCGACAGAAAAAAATTACAGGCTTTTGAACTGCGGAGTTACCGTCGCCTCTGCTGCCTCAGTTGGACCGAAAATGAGTGGGTTAGTAACGGGAAACGAAGCCATTATCTACTGAAAGGCATCGACATGAGAAACATTTTTTTTGTAAGAAATGTGGCGCGGAGCTCAGGCTTAAGGTTTCAATCTCGTGGCTGGAGCTGTTTACGGAGAGGGGAAGAAGGGAGGCCAGGGACGAGATACTCAGGCAGCATCAAAGCCTTGGGAGGAGTGGTCATTACTAGGGAGATGGAAATTGCGCGAGGCAGAGATATCTGGAGAAATTTCTGCAAAAGGCTGATCGAACCAACGATCTTACGTCTGATGATTTTGACGGCGATAATACATGCATCCATGTGTATATATATGTATATAGATACATATATGTATATATGTGTGTGTGTGTGTGTGTGTGTGTGTGTACTATATATGTGTATATGCATGTGTGTGTATATATATTATATATATATATATATATATATATATATATATATATATATATATATATATATATATATATATATATATATATATATATATATATATATATATATATATATATATATATATATATATATATACATACATATATATATATATATATATATATATATATTATATATATATATATATATATATATATATATATATATATATATATATATATATATATATATATATATGTATAATTATGTAAGTGGGTGCCTCCTGACTTCACACCTTCCCCTCGCATTAGCAACAAAGCAGCCTTTGAGAGCGCCTTCCAAGCCTCTTCTTCCCCCGTGAACTTTAGCCAAACACCGCAAGTAACCCATCCTGCAGACGCGGTGATGTTGCACGATCATCTGCAGCCTTTAGGTTGTGGGTTTCGCTAATGCCCGCGGGAAACCTTAGAAACCAGGAGGAAATATTTGCGGGATCGGCGGCCGGTCTCTCCGTCGCCCCGCCCCTTCGCCGCTCCAGGCGGGCGTTCTGTTCCCGCCCCTTCGTCGCACCTGTCCCGTCACGTCCGTGGGCGGCCTTTCTCTGCCTCCGCTCAGTCGCTCGTCCGATGACACCGTCATTCGCAGCCTCCGTCGCACATTTCCTGGCCTTTCGCCACACTTGCGCCGTAACCTCACGGGCGGCCTTTCTGTCCCCGCCCATTTTGTTCACCAGCTCCAACACGGGCGGCCGGCCTCCTAACACCCATTCTCCCAGTCTTCGCCACCTCCAGCATGGGCACCTTGTCTGTTCCCACCCATTTTCCCCGCCTGCGCCACCCCCCCTCCCCATGGGCGGCCTGTCTGTCTCCGCCCATCCGTCCACCCACGCACCGTCTGTCATAGCAAGCGTGTTGACAGCGTGACACAGATGTAATTCTGTCGCATGTGACGTCACAATCTTGATGATTTGAATACGAAAACCAAGTGCCGTTCGAAGATGTTTTGATTTTTTTAAACTACTTTACGTACTTTATTTACTTCTTTCAATAAATGGCGAAAAGAACCTTACGCTATGATATCTCACTGACAACTGCAATAACAGCTATTATTTTACTTGTTATTCTTTGTCACGGATTAAGCTTGCTCGACCAGATTTTGTTTGATATGAAAGAAAATAATACAAATATTAATTGATAACTTCAATTGAACGAAACTTTATAAACGCAGATGATATTTGCCGGTCTCGTCACTGGTCTGTTTAGATAATCTTAAATGCATACATTCCCGCTTAGCGTGATATGGGCGATGCTCTGCCTTCCTGAGACCCGTACGGATAAGCTGTAGATTGCGCTTAAAGATGGCATTTCTAGCATGAAAAAAATATTTCGAGGGAGTGAAACTATGGGATACAATGGGAATATGTTATAAACTAGGTGCGAGTGTGCGTGTGAGTACGTGTGTGTGTGTGTGTGTGTGTGTGTGTGTGTGTGTGTGTGTGTGTGTGTGTGTGTGTGTGTGTGTGTGTGTGTGTGTGTGTGTGTGTGTGTGTGTGTGCATGTGCGTGTATGTCTGTGATGACAAAATGTGATAAGTATACATTGATCACATCGGCCTCATGTAACTAAGGACGAGCGAGACACGTAAAGAAAGATCTTTAATAAAATGAGCCAGATTTACATTCGACAAGGCCAGCTTCCTCAGGATACTGTTTCAACGTCTTTTCTTATTCTCCGCAAGTACTCATCCTCTACGACACAGCAGTCTCCTCAGTCTAATCGCGTAGATGGAACAAGGCTCCTTACCTCCTCACAGAGTCACTAACGGCAGTTCCCTTCTTGTCTTTCACTCGCGCGCCCTTGTGGAACTGCGACCTCAACCCTGCGTCTCCGCCTTATTTATCAGCTTGACCCAGAGTTGCCAGATTCCTTGGGATTTCTGTTTATCGTTGTAGTCTTTGTTTAATGGACTTCTTCTTAGACTGTTCATTTCCTCATCATTTCCATTACTTTTTCGTTTTGAAGGATTTATCATTAGAGTAGTGAGAATGTATTGTAAAATTAAGACTAATACAAGATAATGCTTCATTAATTCTCCAGTTTAATAATCCATTGGAACTTTTTCATTAAAACTATGAACAGCTTTATCTTGATTTTAATTATATCAATTCTGACCAACCACTGTTCTCGCCATCGTCATTGTCTCCTTTTGTCATAATCGTTGTCTGTATTTCTATCTTCGTCACAATCATCTTAGTTGTTATTACAAATGAAGGCATATAATTGGAAAACAGGCTATGTTAACAAATACAACAAATTCTTATGACTTTCCCCCTAATGGTTGTGGTTACTGAATAGGATACAAATTTGTAGCTTGAAAGTTTTCATGGCTTATCAAAATTCTACGGGTGATTTCCATAACTTTTGATAATCAGTGGTTTCAAGTGCATATGTCGAACCGATCTGCACTAAAAGACTTAAAATTCCTTAGTATAGTGTTCGGTTTGGCACACCTCAAGGGGGCGCACTGTGTCCCGCATTGTTTAATATCTAATCTACAAAGTATTTTTCGATGTACAGGAACAGCTGGTGAATTTTACATTGAATCCTTAACTTAAGGGAGAACGCAACATTTTTTATAATCTATTTTCAACAAGGGTTAATCGCAGCGCATCATAGAGCATTCCATTAGCAAAGTTTTTGATACTAGGCAGGATACCTCAGGTTGACTGACGATTATGCAGAGCCTACTGAAAATTGAAGAAAAGACTGATGCCCAATATTGCACCATCGATATGGCATTATTTTTCTTCTGCCTATTCTTTCTGGTTGCAAAAGAATATTCCATTAGGTATTACAGAGAATATATCTGCCTTGCGTAGATCCAAAGGCGTAGCACAGTGAAGACAAAAGCATGTCTCAAATAAATATAGACTTTATTAAACCATGGACAATATCGGTACGGAATCCATTTTATGTAAATGCCTGTAAAAAGAACACCACCCCCTTTTTTCTCTACGCAAACACTTTTAACAGTCATCTCTTTTTAGTAATGTTAAGAGTAACATGGGAGTAGTTATATAACACTTCTTTATATTCGAAATAGAAACATAACATCACAGCGTTCCTGGTTCACCCCAACAGGCATGGGGAATAATTTCACAGGCCTCCAAGGATTTCTAAGTGCTGGCAGAATAGTGATGTTGATGACGTCCTTGCAGTCATCATTAGAGGTTATGCTTACGTCAAATGCTGACGTTGCAATTTGTTGTTGCCAAAGAGGAGAGCCCAGAAACTACCTTATCGAGGGGCCATGACACGTCCGCAAAGGTGACGATGGTTTACGATGCTCTGCGTATGGTACAAGGAGCCGACAAGAAAGATGACTGTATCTGCAAGGTAATGAGAAACTGTTTTCTTTTTTCTTTCTTTCTTTCTCCGGACGTTAATGATTTCTAGTCCATAGTTGCTCCAATACGTATGAGGATTCCTTACTAAACCTTAAAAAAGGCTGAACTCGATGTTTTCCTTGGCAATACAAACAAAATCGTTAAAACAGACGACGCAAAAATAGATCTGGCGACTTAGGTGACTAGGAAAACGCCTTCGACAGGGAAACGCCAAGGAGCTTCTTGTAGGCGAAGCGGGACATCTACCGGATTGCGAACCAGAAGTGGCCATGCAAAGGGGATTGTGTAAACAAACCAACCAAAAAGAAGCAACATGAAACACGACGAAGGAGAATTTGCATCCGTCTCACGACAAACGAAACAAGGCAACGAACAAAGGACAGTTCACGGACGTCACGTGACCGAAGCTCTCGACTGATGACGCAGCGAAACTGTTATACCTTCAAGTCAAATGAAACACTTCAGTTATGGAATTATTCATCCTTACTCTGAATCTTTTCAGTTCGTCCACGCCCGTCCTTTGAAAGTTGATCCAAGAAGCTTGAAAACAGCAACCGCTTTCTTGTCACTGGTCTTCCTTCCTCTTGCAAAACCTCTTAATAGTGTCTGCTGATCCGACTACTACTACTAATAATAATTATTATAATAACAATGATGATTAAAATGATAATAATGACAATTATGTTAATGATAATGATAAAATTATAATAATGATAATGATGGAGAAATAATGAAAAATAACAATAATGGTATGATATAGGTAATAATAATGCTAATAACAACAATAATGATAAGAATAATGATGAAGATGGTGATGGTAATAAAAAATAATGATAATAATAATAGTTGTGCTAATCAAAATAATGATAACAATAACATTAACACTAATAATAATAATGCTATCAGTAATAATAATGATAACATTAATAACAAGGATAATAATGTTAATAATAAGTAGA